TTTTATTTTAATAAACCTTTTGAACTTTCCTACTGACTGTCTCTCCTGAATACTGGGTCCATCTGTCCCCGATTCATGACATAAAGTGAGACTTGATGGAAAATTAGGCAGTGCAATTTTCCCCACGCTGGGGGGAATGTAGGCTGTATGAATAATACATATAATGGTGTTGCAACTAAATCCCTCTGTGTTTTATGCAACATGCCTAGCATTTCTTCTCCATGTCTATCTGTTCCAACTATGGAAACAGCCTTATAAAATTCTGTTCGATGTAAAACCCCAGGTTCAAGATTTAGTATGTGTTAAAATAACTCAGCATTGTTTGCTATCACAATCTGATGAAAATGATTAAAGATATTCCAAATGCTGCGTGGTCTACAGGAAGAATTGATGTAGGACTGTTGACAACTGTAGATTCAGTTAAAATAGTTCCTAAATCAGGCCAAGGATAAAACAATATCTTCTAAAATGTGAAGCAAAAGAAAGTATAAAACCAGTTATAAAAATTTTAGTGGGTGCAGAAATAAGTCTGTTGTTTGGGCCATGTTATTTCAGAAGAAGTTAAAAAGCTACAAGGATGTCTTTTTAGAATTGTGCAATTACTGCAGGGCTTAGATTCCACATTATGTACAAAAACTCAGCTTTTCTTAAGTTTTTTTTTATGACACACTAGTAGCTATGTCAGAGACAATTTAATGGATCCCAGAAGTAGAACAGCAATTCACAAAGCTAAAAATAGAACTTTTCTCAGCAACTGTCTTAGCTCTACAAAATTATCAAAAACCGTTCATCCAAACAGTTGACAGTTAAGCAAGATATATGACCTCTGTGTTTGCAGCCTCATGATGATAGGCTCATACTTGTAGTGTCCTACTCTAAAGGGTTAAAGGGGACCCATGGAAACAGTAGCTCCCCTATAATCTTATTTTTCTCTTTATTATATTGTGTAGTTGGATGTATATATATATATATATATATATATATATATATATATATATATAAAACTGTGACTGAAGCGTGTAACAAAAGTAATTTCCCTCTGGGATTATTAAAGTATTTCTGATTCTGATTCTGATTGAAAGCAGCAGCTATTTTGAGCCATGAGTTTATCATGCCTCCAGAGGAGGGATATTGAGTATAGTACAACAAGTATTTAATCCAACTGCAGAGTTAAAGCTACAGTGTGTAACTTTTGGCGACATCTAGCGGTCAGACTGTAGACTACAGCAACATGAACATCTCCCCCCCACCGCTTCTCCCCTCCAACAGTACGGCGAGCGTTACGGGACAAAATGTCTTCCACGACGTCCGCATCACTACCTTCTCAAGTGTTGAGGTTTGTTTACATAGATAATTTTACAGATAGTATTTCATTAGTCTGTGTAGGGTATAGATTTCATGTAGACTTAAGATAATAAATATACCCGTTATTTTTTCTACATCGTTGTGACGTTTTGGCGATCTCGCAATCGCTAGTTTGTTGGCTCTGCGCTGCCGTAGCGCAAAGATGTCTGCCTCCATGGCTGTGAGACCCGCTCCTGTGTAATTATAAATAACGAATTCTAAGGCAACGCAAATATTAAGGTTAAGAGGCTGAGCTCGTAGATGATGATAAATAACATAGTTATGTATAATATATTACATTTCTGACTGTATATCCCTGTAATTATTACACACTGTAGCTTTAAATAACTACTTGAGTATAGTACAACAAGTATTTAATCCAACTGCAGAGTTAAAGCTACAGTGTGTAACTTTTAGCGACATCTAGCGGTCAGACTGCAGCAACATGAACATCTCCCCCCCACCGCTTCTCCCCTCCAACAGTACGGCGAGCGTTACGGGACAAAATGTCTTCCACGACGTCCGCATCACATACCTTCTCAAGTGTTGAGGTTTGTTTAAATAGATAATTTTACAGATAGTATTTCATTAGTCTGTGTAGGGTATAGATTTCATGTAGACTTAAGATAATAAATATACCCGTTATTTTTTCTACATCGTTGTGACGTTTTGGCGATCTCGCAATCGCTAGTTTGTTGGCTCTGCGCTGCCGTAGCGCAAAGATGTCTGCCTCCATGGCTGTGAGACCCGCTCCTGTGTAATTATAAATAACGAATTCTAAGGCAACGCAAATATTAAGGTTAAGAGGCTGAGCTCGTAGATGATGATAAATAACATAGTTATGTATAATATATTACATTTCTGACTGTATATCCCTGTAATTATTACACACTGTAGCTTTAAATAACTACTTGAGTATAGTACAACAAGTATTTAATCCAACTGCAGGATTAAATAACTAAAAACTTTTGCAGAGCATGTCTCACATGTTGCAAAGAACATGTAATCTGCCCAGAGCTCCTTTTGTTTCCCCACAGGAAGGCCTGAAGCCTGGAGACCGAGTGCTGATTAAAATCATCAAGGGGATAATTGGGCACTGGGCAGCTCCTAGGTGTGAAGGACCCTACATTGTGCAACTAGCAACTCCAACCACTGTGATAATCCAGGAGAGAGACACTTGGATCCACCAGAGTCGTTGTAAGCTGATTAAAGGTTTTCCTCAGCGAGAAGCCCAGTTACCTTCAAAGGGACCCCACGACTAAGGTAGGGATCTGTGGTGAAGCCCAGCTACAAAGGGGTTAAGCAATTTAGAGCTTTTCGTCTCAATGCTGGTAAAGAAACCAACCTAACCCAATCCTTTAGAGTCCTGGTTAGTGGGTGCTTCCTTGGAGGGACTGGTGAAGATAGGAAAACTAAAGTGGCTCTGCTGCTTGATGGTGACCATTGGACTGGTGCTCTTAAGGACTCAAATTGACTGCCAGAAACAAAGGAAAACCAGGATGTTTTTTGATGGAGCCACAGCAAGTCATCCCTACGGTGCCAATATGTGGTGGCTGCATTCCAAGCGCTTTGCTGAAGGTTCGAACAAAACAGACTGTTCACATCTACGGTGCAAGGTCAGCACCATGGACAAGTTGGTTCACCGTGGGATCATGGTGGCAAGTGCTGATGAAGATAGCTTTACCATTTGTAGGATTGTTCTTCATATTTTTCCTTTTTATTTGTTACTTAATACCATGCCTCCAGTCAATGATTCAGAGAATGATAGGATCCACTCTAATCCAGTATTCAGCTGTAACTTATGTTCAACCCCGCCAAGATGCTGGTGAAGATACTGATGATGTGGCAACTGTGTAATCTCTTACAGGGATAATGATTGCTTACGAGGGAAGGGTCGAGTAGGAATTTTCCTCTATTGGAGAGGTTTTGCCTACTCAAGGGACAGGTTTTTGAAACTTTTAACATTCTTGATAAATTTAACATTTTTGCTTAAGTTTTACATTTTAATCATTTTCATATTTTTGTGTTTTGCATATTAATCTTTGATTACTGAATTTCCTATCTGCAATGCATTTATGTTGTGTGTAGTAAAAATCTTTTTAGAAGTGCTACATGCTGATGTTTATATGCACAACAGGAGGGAAATGTTAGGTTTATTTATTGATGATTATAAAGTTAATGTGTGTGTATATGGAACATAGGAGAAATGAGATGCTTCACTCTGTTTACTGCAAAGTGTCATGCAGCGGTGGTAGAAAATTGCTGATGTTTGTGCAAGGCTAATCACAGTTATTAGGAGACTGCTCTGTTCTGTGATTCAATCAGAGGAGCATTTTGTCCTATGACCTGATCAATTGCCTTGTCAGAAGAACACTCTATTTTGTAACCCACCCCATGTGTTATGATCTGCTAATAAATAGGCTTTGCAGAGGAAGTCAGTCAGGGAGTAGCTGAATGTAGCTCTCTCCTTCTGCAGAAGCTGTTAAAAAATCCCTCTTCTGTGTGGACTAATTTTCTCTTTTATGAACCTACATTTTTGAACCTAACATTTTGGTGCCGAAACCCGGGAGTCAAGATCCAATTGTCCAGGACTGTGTGGGACCAAGGCCAAGAATCTGTCGACAGCCGCCCTCTCTTCGCCGGACGGGGCCAGTTTGGTCCAGCCCTGCCCTGGGCATGCTGGTGATGACTCCCGCAGAGGACTGGTCTACACGACAAAGGGTAGGCCTAAAGCTTTTGATCAAAAGTTGGTGTGGGACCATTTAAGTTACATCTGAAATCTCAAGAATATTTGACGAGACCAAGTCTTGTTGACGGATGTGGCATCTGGGTATTCTGTGCGTTAGAGTTTGGGATTCTGTGTTGTTCTCGAGATAGTAAGGTTTGCAGCTGCCGCGGCAGGGATATTTCACGAAACCAAGTTTTGTTGATAGATGTGGCATCTGGGTATCCGGTGCATGCGAGGGCCTGGAGTTTGAGACTCCAAAGTGTACACATAATGATGGGTGTTTTATGTCTATATTGGTTAAAAAAATACATATAATAGGCCTTAAAATAGGTGTGACTGTGTGAGAGTGTGTGAGGAAACAATGAAACCTTTCAGGTTCTGTTGTTTCATGCTAAGACAGCAGGGGTTTAATACAGTACAGCTCTTGTAGATGCAGAAGCAAGAATTTCTCACCTGAAAAGGTAGGAGCAGAAATTACTACAACAGTTTTTGGGTACTGTCCTGCTGAATAAATGCGTAGAATACTCTAGGTGTTTGTACTGGACTAAATTCTTTAAAATGGGTAAAGGTCAAAATAAATTTAGAGATAATTTAAAATCTTTGTCCTATGACCTGATCAATTGCCTTGTCAGAAGAACACTCTATTTTGTAACCCATCCCATGTGTTATGATCTGCTAATAAAAAGGCTTTGCAGAGGAAGTCAGTCAGATAGTAGATGTAGCTGAATGTAGCTCTCTCCTTCTGCAGAAGCCATTAAAAAGTCCCTCTTCTGTGTGGACTCAGTTTCTCGTTTATGAACCTACATTTTTGAACCTAACATGAATCATGCCTTTGTCTGAGCCTTGGTTTGGCGTTTCATTAATTTTACTGTGGTATTGTGTTTTAGGAGATAGGCTTAGCCCTTATTTCCATGTTTAAGATACTCTGAATGCTGCAGCAAACCATAACCTTTTTGGACAGTTGTATGCTCCATACTCTGACAGTTTGGATGTGCCCTCAAATTTCAACATATCTATACTGTATATAAGTGCAGGGAACAAGGTAGGATATGCATGACCTACTTTTGTTTGGAAAACCTTACTGGTCTCAGCCTCATAAAATATATTTGGGATATTTTCTTTCAGCATTAGCGTCTGACCTCACAGCCGGTCTGCTGTATGACTTCAGACAAATACTCTCAAAACCTTGTAACCAACCTTCAAAGAAGAGTAAGAACTAGTATTTGCAAATGATATACTAGCACAGTATTAAACCAAGTTTTGGTAGAAGTCCTCATAATAGATGTGTTACATTAAAATATTTCACTGGGTATCGGTTGTTGTAACGGAACATTTCCAACCATTCCTCACCTATAACAGTTGTTGTTGTACTTGTTGTAGCTTCCAAATGTGGTCATGTACCCCAAGCAAATTGCGTAAGAATAAAATATTTGTGTTCCAGCATCCATCCAGACCTAAAAAACAAACAAATTTTAAAAATGTACCTCCGTCTCTACAAAAATATTCTCTGTTGATTTTGAATTAGCTATGAAAGCTATTTCTTTTCCTGACAGCTTGGATTACATTGATGTAAAATATAAAAATCTTGACTTTATGCAAAAATTCATTTGAGAGAAATAAGCAATATAAAGTGAGAAAAAGACCTGGTCATTTTCACATGACTGCAGATGTAGTAGTACCTGTGGGTCAGCAAGCCGTGAGGGATCAGGGTAAAGGTAGTATTTGATACCATGGAGTGCTCCAGGAAGGGTTATTCCTCTGAAGAATAGCGCCACCAACAAGACGAAAGGAAATGTGGCAGTAAAGTAGGTAGCCTTTGAATAAATAGGAAAATTAAAAAAAAAAGTTTAGACTGGTAAACTCTGTACTTACTAATTTTTCAGGGGTTACATATCTAATTTTTTAACATATCATTTTTTTTCAGTAATTTTCAGATAAATATCCAGTGAGCTCCACCTTAAATCACTTTCTGGTGTGCAACAGTACACAGTATCATCACTCCTAAATTTGAGGACAGGAGAGACAGATCAACAAACAGGAGGAGCAACTGTTGCCATTGCATGCGGAGCTGAAACAACTGAATGCACAAAGGGCCAAGTTCATGATCACTTTTTCTGAACAAGTTAAGTTCCTTGTGGATCAGATCCAGAGGTTTCAGAGCTCCCCAGATCCTCCTGCAACAAACCATACTCCTCCTTCTCCTAGTGGTGAACCTCTTGTGCCACCTGCCACCTCCAAACACATGTACCGCCATCGGTCAGCCTGACACCGTCCCTTCCTCTTCAGCGAGTCAGGATGCTGCCAGTTCTCGTGGTCTCAGGAGTCTTCTTCATAATCAACAGCTATCTTCACAAGTAAGAAAATTAAAAAAATCTAGCTCCCAAGACCACTTCTAAAGCTGCCAGAGCTCCTCATCCTAGAGATTCTCAAAGGACTTTTTTATGGAGAAAGAGAGGATTTGTTTTATTTCATGCCTCACCACTTAGTTTTCCAGTTTACCTTAGCTCCCTGTTAGCCAGCTGATTCTGAGCCTCTGTCAGATCCTCTTAGTCTACAAGCTCTTCAGTTAGACCCCTCTGGTGTTCCCTCTGCAGGCTTAGACCCCTCTAGTGTTCCATCTTCAGGCTTAGACCCCTCTCGTGTTCCCTCTTCAGGCTTATACCTCTCTCGTGTTCTCTATCTAGGCTTAGACCTACTTAGTGTTCCCTCTCCAGAGGCCCCTGAACATGCTGTGTGACATTCGGAGACCCCAGAGCTGATGAACTAGTCCCTGAAATGGAGCATGGTGAGAGTTTGTCCTCAAGGCCCCTCAACGGGTGCTTCTAACCGCTCAGTGGGTGCTCCTCACCTCCAAGGCCCCTCAATGGGTGCTCCTCACCTCCAAGGCCCCTCAGTGGGTGCTCCTTACCTCCAAAGCCACTCAGCGGGCACTCCTCACCTCGAGGCCACTCAATGGGCGTTTTTCGCCTCTTTGTGGGTCCCAAGCTGTGCTGCCTCTCCGTAGGCTCCTGACAGCGGCATCTAAGGGTCGAGTGCCACAGTCGGTGGCCTCCAAGGCTTGTGTGCCCCAGTCAGTGGCCTCCAAGGTTCCTGATGCAGAGGCTTTGACCTCCAGAGGTCATTCTCTGTCGCTGTCTTCACGGCCGGCCCCCAGAGACTCTGCTTCTCCTCTGGCCTCATGGCCAGCCTTCAGAGAATGTGCTTTGACCTTACCCACCTTTGATGGGTTGTTTTGTGTTTTGGACTCTGTTTTTGGTTTTTGTTTTGTTTTGGTTTTTGGTCCCCCATCCACCTAACTCTGGGTGGGTTGTTTTGTTTTTAGGACTTTTTAGAGCGTCTGGGATCCGCCCTTAGGTGGCGGGTGCTGTCATGTTTTTTGTTCTGTTCCAGTTTCTCTTTGAGTTTTCATTGTTTTATTTCCATGTTGTGGTATTGTAGTTATTTATGATTGCATTTGAGTTCTTAGGTATTTCTTGTTTGCTCTCTATTTATTGTTCTCAAATTGTTTTCAAATGGTAATGATCATGTCATTTCCATTATTGTTTTTATCTCACCTCATTTCTCTGACTGGTTTCTGTGCTAAATTCATCTGAATGTCTTCTTTTCATTGTTCATGTAATTTCATCATTAAACCATGCCACCATGTTATTCTGCCTCCACGGTCCTGTCTTTTTTTTTATCCACCTTACAGCTCTCTAAAAATATTTTTTGGGATGTACTTAAGATTCAGGAAAAGGAATCATTTGGCCCTCAGATTAATCGGGAAAAGAGGTGAAACTGAAAATAGCACTCAAACATTCTAAAACTGTGGCAATTACGGTGTTGTGTAGATCAAATGAACATATTTGGATTAAAGACCACAACACACAATGCATAATCTTAATTCCAGTCTTACCTTTCCTGTGGACCTCACTCCTTTCCACACACAGAAGTAGCAGATTACCCATGAAAGAAGAAGGCACAATGCAAGGTCCCACTGGATACTTCCTAAAGTCTCTATGCCCGTGGATATTTTTAATACCCGTCGCCTGTGAAAGGATATTGTGTCAGTACTTGGAAAATGTTTTTCAACTCAATTTAAGTCAAAATACTTTATCTAGAAGGAAAATGTTGTTGTGACCAAAGGGTTACAAATGCATGGACTAGTTTCTTAGCACCACCCCTGGATAACATATTTCTAATTTTAGCAATATTCCAGAGGTGAAAAAAGGACATTCTAGAAATCTCTTTGATATGGGATTTAAATGACAGTCCTGGTCAAAAATTACACCAAGATTTTTTTTTACTTTGTTATCTGAGATCAGTTTAATTCCAACCAGATAAAGTGAATGACTAATCTGTTTCTTTTTCAAAAACTCTGGTCCAAAGACAATAACTTCGTTTGTCAGCATTCAGATACAGAAAGTTGAGTCATCTATGTTATAGAATTGGCCCTACCATAGATCCCTGTGGTCAGGGGCACACCAGGAAATTGGGGCCACATTAGAGTCCTGCAACGGGTCGGGTACCCGCTAAAATGCTCTTTTGCGGGTGAAAAATACATAAATAAAAATAAACGGGTCGGGGGTCGGGCGGATATTTTTTTATTGCGGGCGGGTAGTTGGTGATTTTTTTTTTTTATGCGTGTTTGTTTTTATGGACATCAGAAATGTTATATTAATCAGGCACTGGGGTCACCCTTGTTGTAGGTTAAATCCCTGCCGGCAGTGTGGGCTTCCCTCCAAAAAGGCCACAGTCAGTGCATACACGTCTGCTGCAGTGTTAATGGCGCTGTTCTGCAGCACAGCGTACTATAGCCTATAACTTGATGTGTTAACGGGTCGGGTTGCGGGTTAAATATCAACGGGTCGGGTTCGGATTTGAATTGAAGATATCCGCAGGTGACGGGTCGGGTTCGGTAGTCATCCTAACGGCTTCGGGCGGGTGCTGGTTGGTAAAATCGACCCGTGCAGTACTCTAGGCCACATGAAAGACATTGATATTGCCCCCCCCATGAAAAAAAATAATGCAAGCTGTAAAAACGCTATACAGATGGACGAAAAGCATCATTTACATTTCAAATATAAATTTTCTGTACAATTTCAATGAAGGAAAATTATCTTCACACTAAAAAGTAAAATATACATTAGCTCTAGTCTTTACATTAAAAATAATCCTCAGCTTATTTAGAACAAAAAAATTAGATGTATCTATATATAAATTTTTTAAATACATTGTAAGATATTTTAAAAATGTAATACATATACATGTAATGAGAATTTTAAAAAATATATTTTTGGTGTAGCTGTTTCAGGCTGCTCTGCTGTGAGAATGATTTGCATATAGATTTATAGATACCTTTTAGTGGCTATAATTCAATCTGAATATAAAATCTAACTGAAGTATTTTAAGATTGACAGTGATTTTAATGTAGGCTGCTAGCAGCTACCCAAATTTCTCCTTCAACTGTTCAGGATCCAGTACAAACAACTGCAAGGCCATTTAATGTTATAGTGATCATTATGTAGAAAAAACAGTGTTTACATTTTATATAAATAAAAAGTTTAATGTTAAGTTTTTTTTTAAATGAGAGAAAGTCTCATTTGTTCCACATTTGTAATGATGCTAACTGGCCTGTCCCTGAACACAATGTGGGTCACCTTCTATACTGGGGCAAATTCGAAAAAAAATCTTTATGCCTCTGCTTTGTTTTTATGTTTAATGCTGAAAGATCAAGGAGAACAAAAGGACAAGTTATTTTACTGCAGGATTTTCTTTTTATATTTGAAATTCTGGTGGGACATATTTTTTTCTTTTTCTTTTGGGGCCCGCCTCAGTCAAGGGCCCATGGAATATTCCTAATTTTTCACCCCAATATGGCGCCTCTGCTTGTGGTACTCCAGAGGTAACTGCTGGAGCATGAAGAAGATTTATCATTAACGTGAACAAACTAAAATCTGTCCGATAAATTAGATTTAAACAAGCCGAGTGTTGTTCCCTTAATTCCTAAAAATATTCAAGTCTTTTGAAAAGAATATTATAGTCAACTACATCAAAAGCAGCACTGAGATCTAACAGGACAAGTACAGATACAAGTCTATTATATGAGGTCATAAGAGTATCATTAATGACTTAAACCAGAGCTGTTTCAGTGCTATGATGAGCTCTTAACCCAGATTGAAACTCTTCTATGTTCATTATGGTCTAAGTGGTCACACACTTGTTTGGCAACTACTTTCTGAAGAGTTTTAGATAAGAAAGAAAGATTGGATATAGGTCTATGATTGACCAGGTCATCTGGGTCAAGAGACATTTTCTTAAGCAAAGGTTTAATTACAGCAACCTTAAAAGCCTTGGGTACATATCCCTGTAACAGGGATAGATTAATCACATCTAAAATTGAGGTAGAAATCAAAGGGAATACTTCCTTAAAGAACTTGGTTGGAGTTGGATCTAACATATATGTTGAAGGCAGAGATGGCAAAAGTACTCACTTTCCGTACTTGAGTAAAAGTACAGATACTTGTGTTAAAAAATACTCTGGTAAAAGTGGAAGTAATGATTAAACTTCTTTACTTAAGTAAAAGTAACAAAGTACAGGCTTGTAAATTTACTTAAAGTATAAAAGTAAAAGTAGAAACGACTTTTTTCATGCCGTTGCCTACATTTTAAATGGATGTCTGCCAATAGGACTAGATCTCCGTTGTGTTCATATTCAATCATCTCGTTGTCCATACTACTATGCTAAGGCCACCGCCACCAAGCTGCAATGATTTGCCGCGAATGAATACCGCAGAATCTGTCGATTCATCTTGTAGTGGTGCGTCAAATGCAACGTAGATTCCCATCCAATTAGATGGAATTTGGTATTGATGACGTGAAAAATAATAACGGTAACTACATTGAAATGATTCAAAACTAAAGTAACGAGCCAATTTTTTAAAATGTAAGGAGTAGAAAGTACAGATATTTGTGTAAAAATGTAAGGAGTAGAAGTAAAAAGTCGCCATAAAAATAAGTAGTAATGTAGAGTAAAAATATCAGAAAAATCTACTTGAGTGCAGTAACGAAGTATTTGTATTTTGTTACTTCCCATCTCTGGTTGAAGGCTTAGATGAAGATAATAGTTTTGCTAACTGAAAATTCAACAGGATGAAAACAGTTTTAACCTGGTTAAGATTCTAGGTAGTTTATCAGATACTGCCTCACTTTCCAGTGATAAACCAATCATATTTAGAGTAGCGCTAATTATCTATATTTTTTATAGAATCTAAAATATTTATAAAGAATTACATATAATTATTACTGCCAAGAGCAGGGGGAATGGATGGTTCAACAGAGCTATGGCTTTGTGTGAGTTTGGCAACTGTATTAAAAAATCTGCCTCTCTTACCTTACAAAGGTTCATTTTATACAGCAGTAAACTGTTTTTCCAGACTAGGTAGGATTCCCAAAGGCAAGTAGAGTGCCATTTTCTCTTTAATGTCTTAGTATTTTACTTCCAAGTGAGCAGCTCTGCCTAAAACCAGGGAGTCAGCCTTCTATTTTTAGAAGGTTTTTTTTCAAAGGGGGTACATTTTCTAAGGCAGTGTGCAGAGAACTAGCAACTCTATCAACAAAGTCATCAACCTGTAAAGGGGAATAAACCAAATGTTGCACTCTGCAGCACTGTTCGGTAATAAGTAATTTTGAAGGTTATTATAAAGTGGTAAGAGAGGACCTGGTCGAGAGGAAATACTGTTATTTCTTCACATTTAAATAATATATGCCAGCATAAGGTCAAGAGTATGAAGATGAAAATAGGTGGTACTGCTCACATTTTAAACAAAGACAATCAGCCTAAGATAGCAATATAGTCTGCATTTAACCTTCAATGTCAGCATGGAAGTTAAAAGCCCCCACTATGATGACCTTGTCAGTATTTAATACTAAATTTGAAAGGAACTTTGAAAATTCATCTAAAAATTCAGAGCAAGGACCCGGTGTACAATACAAAGTTACAAACAGAAGAGGTTTTGTTGATTTAAATTTTGATTAGGGAAACTTAGGGTTAAATTTTCAAAAGAGTTGTAATTATTACCTTATTTTGGAGTAATCAGTAAGTCAGATTGAAAGATTGTTGCTACTCCTCCTCCTCTCCTAGAAATTCTGGTTATGTGAAAGTTGAAATAACTAGATGGAGTTGAAAAAAGTTAAAAAGCTTTCCACTCCCCTGGATATTATGATGGAAGGGCCCAGAACTGCCTCTCTGTCTCTCCCAATCAGTAATCGCCAGTCTCTTGAAAGACATTTGTGAGCGCAGATCATTCATCATCCCTAGTTTGCATCTTCAGTTCACCTTCAACACCTCTGAGTTGTTCTCAGCCACTAACCCTTTGCTCCTTTCCACAGTGACTCTAGTTGTATTTTATTGTTTTATCGATCTTGTTTCTAATTTTTATGTAAAGCTTGTGAGTCAGCGCTTACTGTCTATAAAAGTGATAGATAAATACAGTTGGCTTTATCTTTGTATAAAACTAAAAAATATGTTTACATACAGAACATTATCGGAAATGGAAAGCTTATATTGGTTTATTTTTTGTTGTGGACAGTTTCTCATAGAAATCTATTTGTCCATGTATAAAGCCTTATTCATATGGTAATTAGAATAATAATGATGTAATGTCCAGGAAATAAACAAAAAAATTAAAATAAAACACAAATTAAAGGTAACACAAATTCTAACCATAATCCTGTACAATTATGTACAATAAATAAAATACTGAAATTATAGGGAAACACAAATTCCAATTGTTATCTTGTGCAATTGTGAACTCTAGAAATTATGTGGTGGTTTAAAGCTGTTTAAAATACAAAAAAAATACAGTTTCAGTAACATTTTTTATGATTTTGGTTTACAAAATTTTGAGTGTGATGCAATCTCCCAAGTAGCTTTCTGAAAAAATGTTCATTTAACTACAAATATTAAGCTTTGGTAAGATTTCATCAAGCAAAATATACTTGACTAAAATCAGTAAAGCCTGTCAACTTTTCCCTTAATTTAGGTTACACTGTATACACTGTATTAAAAATCTGAAAGTTCATAAAACCCAATTTCTGTGGCCCATTTGCCATTTCTAGGATTACATTACAAAGACTTACTGCCAAAACTCTATAACAGAGGATGATGCATTCACAGGTGAGGTCCAGTTGGCAGTGGTATTATAGGTGTTAATTTCCACACAAACATCTGAAATTGCAACATTATATGATTTAAGCAGGTTCTGATTCCTTATTAAACAGCCTCATCAATGCACCAAAAACCAGCATGTAATTCATGAAGAAAGAGGGGGTGTTGCTTTATTATGATCACTTACCTGTATTCCACGTGTTGTTACAGCTGACCCATGGCAACTTTCCAGAGAATGAGGAGAAGAAATAGAGGAATGCCCAGGCTAAAATTGCAACATAGCTGATGTTTCCATAGAAAATTATCATCTGGCTGGCATATCCCATGCCTGCAAATGAATTATTTCATTTAGATTTTTTTTATTTTATTTTACATTTTCAGTCCAAACTGCCCTCCCTCTTTCATCGTTAAGGCAGCTTGCTCACCTTCAAACAAGGGGCAGATCTTTCTCCAACACATGATTCCTCCCTGACTGGTGTACTGGCCCAGTGATGTTTCCAGGACAAACAGAGGGACACCGCAGGTAACAAGGAAGAGGAAGTAAGGGATGAGGAATGCACCTGTAAGTAACAAAAAAAGACTGTAAACAACTCTCAGTGAAAATAATAGCAAGTTGTCTAGATCTCACGCCAATAAAATAATTCGAAATTATAATCGACTGGATATATATACAATGTTTAAACGTTGAGTGCCTGGCTGTGGGACGTCACTGAAAAAAAGAATTCACAGCTACAATGCACAAATACTTATAATTCAAAATTACCTTCATAACTCAGGTATAAAGTGCCAAAGCAGCCAAAAGCAGATGAAAACTGAAAGATCAGTCAGAAGAAATGGTTTGTGTAACCAAATAAAAGTGTACACAACACCATGTGGGAGTGCCTATGACTGAATGGGGAGCATGTGACACCAAATGAAAGGCAAGCAGGACTGTATAAACCTGCGTAAGTCCAAATGAAAGGGTTTTTGAGACCAAATATAATAGAAGTCAAACTGAACAAAAACGGTGCAAGAACAAAATAAAGTTTGCATGAGACTGAATGAAACCTAAGCAAGATCAAATTAGTGTATTCAAATTAAACCTCCTTCTTCAATTGTATTTCACAATGGTGCATGGTATTTCACTGTGCCACATTGCTGTTTTGGAGGAAAATTGGGGCCATAAAGTTAATAGAAAATAATAAATGTTCACAAAACAAAATGTAAACCTGAAAAATAAAAGTTTATTCACAAGAAAAAATACTTTTTACGTTGAAAATATATCAAAACTCACAGTTGTAATATATTGGGGGCCTTATGGTATTCTATTTGTGAATTTAATGCTATGTTCAGACCGCAAGCAGCAAGAGCAGCAAAAACACGTGTGCTGCTTCAATTTTGATGCTTGTACAAGTTTTGTTCAGACGCGCGGCTGAGGCGTCTTTGCTGCTCTAGCTGATCTTTGCCTGTAACAATGGCAGCTATATTTGCTGTGATCAGTGGGTAAAAAGTAGTTTGAATCTATTTTGAAGTGAGAAAGTCCACCTGAAAACTTCATCTGTGCAGTCAGTTCATCCAGATTACCATCCTGCCTTCAAATATTATTTCCCTGTCGGAGCCACTCAAGACGTGCTGCTCCTGCTGCTCAAAACGTGCTTCGGGATGTTTTGCTGCGCCTTGATGCACATCAACCATTGACTTTGCACGTAAACTAGCTGCTCCTGCTGCCACTGCTGCTTTAGGAATGAACGCAGCATAAGACTTTAAACATGCAGGTGAGGAATAGTTTATGAGTGACTGTATAAAGTATATCTGCTTGTATAAGAATTTATGCATGTGTCCACTTTTGGCTGAATCTTGACACCATACTTTCACCTATTCAGACACATCCACACTCTGATGCTGATAAGTTGCACTGTAGCCACAGGTGCCCTGGGGGAGACTGAAGGCTGCCATCTAACTTTGCTGTTGTCATGATTCTGGAAAAGTAAGTACTTTGTTTACATTCAGCTCTGCTCCTAACATCGTTATCTCTCGTTGAAACTAATCTTTTCTTTATAGTTATTCTGCATTTGCTAAGGAGCTGGTTTATGTTTTCGAACCTATGTTGCCAGAAGATTACTGTCCCTCAAACAAGGTGCCTGGTTGGTCACAATGTCCATTTTTTATTTAATTTGTAGGCAGCAGACCATGCTTGGAATCAAGAGGCTCTTGTTTCAGGATGTTGGTTCTGTTCAGGAGGCCTGCTCAGTTTACTCTCCCCCACTTGTCCCCTCAGAACCTGAGCCCATGCAGTTGGGTAGAACGAGGATTTTTCTAAAGAATGTAAATGTAGGAAATTGATTAATCCTTGTTTCTACTGTGGAGAAAAGGTCATAGTCATTGGGTGTCAGGGGAGAGATTTGCTAAGTCATAGTCATTATTTGACCTACTCACATTTCTTCTCCTTCACTCCTAATCTTGTTGTTTTGTCTGTCTCATACCAGGTCCCATTACTCACTGATTCAAGAGCTGACACTGAGTTAATTGATGGTTCAGGGTGGTATATCTGTAGCTGCAGCTTAGTATTTAATATAAATGTGTATCCGTAACCCCCCGAAATAAACTCCTGTGGTATGTATGCATGGGCATGTTTGTGGATAAAGGATTTATTAAGCTTTTTCAGAAGGAAAATATGCTCGATAACAGGTGTGAGAGGCCCCAGAGTGGCCCTACAAGACATAGGACTGATAAAGAGGCAACATGAGCCCCAGATATCCAAAGGCACCCTGTATCACTGGAACACAACAAGGGCAGACATGAATGGCCACACCCACCAAAGAAAGGCAGATGAGGCATCCAAACACATCTTTAAATCTCTTCCTCCACAATCTGCTTCATTCATTGCTCACCAGTGACATCTGCTGCAGCACAGACACTATGACAGCCCTTACATTTCAAAAAGTCCGAAAGCAGCAATATGTGCAATATTGTTAAAATAAATATTTAGTTGTAGACCTGTCCCATTTCTTTTTAGTTATTATTGTATATTATCAGTGTATACCAAAGTAACCCTAATAAGTTGGCTGTCTGTGGAAGTTGTTTTAGTTTCATTGACTGATTTTTGCAAAGATGCGTTGCATGCAGTTTATGGGTGACTTATTCCCTAAAAAACTTGATTTATACATTTTCTTTTTCTGCGACTCCTGTTTGAGATCCTTTATAGTTTGCTGCCCACAGAAGTTTGTCCATTCACCAGCATTTAGTCTGTTTCTCCTGTCTGACATTGTGGCATTGCTGATCAAACAACTAAAGTATTTGGGTATATTTTATATTCTCATGGCCTTGGATAATGGACTTATCTATACTTGTCCTGTAAGATCCGGTTAGATGTTTTATGTATTCTACTATATTGGCCTGTCCAGGGACTATGGGTGGAAATTAGCACTAGAGCTATAACCTGGTACAATGCATTTCTCCCCTTGAGGTTACAGTTGATTGTATGCTGTCACTGTTTCTCTAAATAAATAAACTACTAAAAAATAATAACAATAATCTCATTGCTGCATTTGACACAATTGATCATAATATTCTTTTAGAAAGACGTTAATATTTTATAGGAATTAAGGGAACAGCAGAGCGGCGGCTGGTGGAGTTTTCTCCAGGGAGGGCTCTAAATTCAATATAGACATATACCAAAAACTAATCAAACATAATGCACCAGGGGGCATTATGTTTTATCACAGATAATTCCTCCCAGCAGCTGTAAGGCTTTATAACCATCACTGTTCCCAACAACCTCTAAAAGCTGTTACATTCATGCTAAAGTGACTGCTCTGCCCTTTGAAGTTGGAGACAAAGTTCTTGTGGGAAATCTGAGTCTCAGGAAGAAGCACAAAATCTCGGATAAATGGGAATATGCTGTTCATGTTGTTGTCAAACAGCTTGATGAGAGTATCACTGTCTATGTAGTAAAGTCGGAAGATGGAGAAGGCATAGAGAGGGTTCTGCTTCGTGACATGCTCCTTCCATGTGGGTTTTTACCTATAGCAGTGAGGGAGGATGAGGAGGTTAGCGATGTGCAGGTCAGTCAGACTCAGGTGTTGGAGACACATGATGAAGTAGGTGATGATTTGTCTTTTGTGGAGGGCAATACAAATGCGGAGTCCCAGTTTATGATACCTGCAGCCCTTGAAAAGTCTGTATCTCAAGTTGATAAGCCTCTGGATCCTGAAACCCCTGAATTTATTTAAGAGCAGGAAGATTTATCAGAACGTGATGCAGAAGTTGATCCTACTCCACCACAGGGTAGACCACAGAGACGAAGGTTACCATCATCTTACCTTAGTGACTCCCAAGTAGGTGGCAGAGCATTTTGTACACATCACATTGTAGATAACTACATGCAACAGAAAATGTTGCATTGTTTCTTTTCGTCTTTACAACAGCAACTTGCATGGGTTGTTCATGCTGTAGCAAGTGACGGGGACGTCACAGTCTAAGTGGGGGAGAATGTAACCCAGAGCTGTTTTTTTTCTGCATTGGGGATGCATTTGTTGGGAGCTGGAGAAGTACCACCTTCCTCCAGCAGAGTCCGCCGTGGATCCTCCTGAGCCGAGCCTTCAACGCACCTGTGGCTCTTTCCATCATCAGAGGATCCACACTATAAAAGCTATCTTCAGACCTTGCCTCGACGCCGCAGTGTTGAATCTAGTTGGTTAGCACCTGAGCCAAAAAACCT